TGTAAAGGTGTGACAATGGACACGAGTCAATAATGTAAAGGTGTGGCAATGGACACTAGTCAATAATGTAAAGATGTGACAATGGACACGAGTCAATAATGTAAAGGTGTGACAATGGACACGAGTCAATAATGTAAAGGTGTAACAATGGACACGAGCCAATAATGTAAAGGTGTGACAATGGACACGAGTCAATAATGCAGAGGTGTGACGTCAGTTAATTGTACGAAATATTTTAGAAGCTTATCACAGCGATCTTTTAAACTTATACTCGATCATTTAAAAAAAAAAGTTTGTTTGTACCAATGCACGTGACCATGTATTAAACATTGAGTGCAAATGTTGAGTCTAATGCATATAAAACAAACTAAATTCAAATATTTTGACTATGATTATGTTGTATTTAGTAAGTCACAAGGTTGATCTAAGCGCTTGGTAAGTATGGGAGATCGGATAACGTCTTATTGAAAAGGATCTAAGCGCTTGGTAAGTATGGGAGATCGGATAACGTCTTATTGAAAGGGTATACACTGGCAAGGGCTTACTGTTTCCTCTCTTTAACAGAGCTCGATATTGGAACACTACTCCTGAGAACAGGGACCTGGGTATTTTTGCAGCTATATTTGGACCTAAACTAAGGGGTTAAGAGTAGTTTTAAACGTGTTAGGGGTTTAGATCAAATTTCGGTAAAAATGCCAACCCCAATAATGAAAGTTGATCTTAACCCCTAAAACGTGTAAAATTTCTCCGAATACCTTAATTGCGGTCCAAATATAGTTGTAACATATTCTTAGGTCCCTGTTCTCCCAAGGTTCCAATTTATGACATGTCTATTTGTAAACAAAGCGCCAATGTTGGTGTAGTCTGCGATATATCTTGAATGGACGTCAACGTTATCAACATAATCCGAGAGAACGTCTCGTAGAAAGAAGGAAGTGGAAAGACATTATTCTACCACAAACCCATCCTTGATAGTATAGGGGTCACTTTCGCTCTCTGCACCCATGGGATGTCATCGCAAAATTGAGGGCACACGGCTAGCAACTTGATTGATCTCGGGTAAAAAAAACCTGACCAATCGCTAGGCTTTAAAAATACAGGAGCGAAAACCGACTTCAAAGCCAGTCAATTTTACCGTTATACGAACGAAAGATTCTTTTAATGTATACTGAACAAAAAAAGAAACGCACAAAGTTCCCCCTGCAGTACACCTTATCTGTAAGGAAATAATGGAATATTTGGTCAGGTATTACATCAAAAACGATCTCCCTTCTCAACAATCTACCCTAAAATCAGCCAAGCGTGACGATGTCATTGTGTGACTTTGTGAGCTTCTTTAGTCCAAATCACGCGGCGTGATCAAGCCAAGCCGGAGTTTTTCAAACAAATAATCTCAACGGATACTCTAAGTTCAGCCAAATTAATTTTCCACGTTGGCAGTTTGATTTCGCCATTGACTGAGATGCCACGCTTAACGCAAATTCAGAGGGGCAAAGCAATTGCGATGTTGATGGATGGTCATAGCCAAACTGCTGTCGCGCGGCAGTTTGGTGTTGGCCCGTATACAATTAACTGTCTCTGTACACGTTTCCGTGCTACTAGGTTAGTTTCCGATCGTCCCAGGAGCGGTCGTCCGCGTGTAACGACCGCACGACAAGACAGGGCGATTCGATTGTCGCACTTGCGCAACAGATTCAAGACTGCTGTAGAGACTGCGTCGCATACCTTAGGTACTCATGGCAGACCCATTAGTCCTCAAACTGCCAGGAACCGCTTGCGTGCCGAGAGAATCATTGCGCGCCGACCTTATGTCGGGCCACCTCTGACACCACGGAGGCGGCAAGTGCGTCTTGACTGGATGCGCAGACATGGCCCGAATAGGTTTGGGATGCGTCGATGGAGGCGTGTGATGTTCACCGACGAGTCTAGATTCTGTCTGTATCGCTCAGACGGAAGAAAAAGGGTATATCGCAGACGCGGTGAGCGTTTCGCCGACGAGTAAAATCCCCCTTAGTGGTCCTGGATCAAAACCTCAATGCCGTTCGATACAGAGACCAGATCCTCCAACCACATGTCCTTCCACTTCTCATACGTTATAACCTAATTTTCCAGCAAGACAATGCTCGACCGCATGTTGCCAGAGTCTGTCGTGATTTTCTCACGGCAAACAACGTTCAGCCTCTGAAATGGCCACCATATAGCCCCGACATGTCTCCCATTGAGCATCTGTGGGATGAGCTGGACAGGGGTGTTAGGAAACGTCAATAATTGATGATAACAGAAAGTACGGTAAACAAAGAAAAGTTACTTAGGTTTCAATGTCTTCACCTGTTGTAGGATCATCGAGACCTTCAATTGGATATAATGAATATTCTGGGCCCCTTTCACGTATCCATTTTTAGCTCACCTGGCCCGAAGGGCCAAGTGAGCTTATGCCATAGTGCATCGTCCGTCCGTCCGTCCGTCCGTCCGGCGTCAATATTTTACTTTAAAAAACTTCTTCTTAATAACCAAAAGGCCTAGGGTGATGATATTTGGCCAGAAGCAAACTAGGATGAAGGGCTACTAAGTTTGTTCAAATAAATGACCTTCACCTATTTTCAAGGTCACAGGGGTCAAATATGTTAAAAACTTTAAACAACTTCTTCTGAATAACCAAAATGCCCAGAGTGATGATTATTGGCTAGTAACATGCTGGGATGAAGGGCTACCAAGTTTGTTGAAATGAATGACCTTCGTCCATTTTCAAGGTCACAGGGGTCAACTGTCTTAAAAAATCTTTATACAGCTTCTCCTGAATAACTAAGAGGCCTAGGCAAATGATATTTGGCCAGTTACATGTTAGAATGAAGGGCTACCAAGTTTGTTCAAATGAATGACCTTTACTTATAGTCAAGTTCACAGGGGTCAAATATGTTGAAAACCTTTAAACAACTTCTTCTCAATAACCAAAAGGCCTAGGATGATGCTATTTGGCCAGTAGCATGCTGTGATGAAAGGCTACCAAGTTTGTTCAAATCAATGACCTTCGTCCATTTTCAAGGTCACAGGGGGCAATTGTCTTAAAAAATCTTTATACAGCTTCTTCTGAATAACTAAGAGGCCTAGGCTAATGATATTTGGTCAGTAGCATGCTAGAATGAAGGGCTACCAAGTTTGTTCAAACGAATGACCTTTACTTATATTCAAGGTCACAGGGGTCAAATATGTTAAAACCTTTAAACAACTTCTTCTCAATAACCAAAAGGCCTAGGATGATGCTATTTGGCCAGTAGCATGCTGTGATGAAGGGCTGCCAAGCTTGTTCGAATGAATGACCTTGACTTATATTCAAGGTCACATGGGCCAAATATGTTTAAAACCTTTAAACAACTTCTTCTGAATAACCAAGAGGCTTAGGATAATGATATTTGGCCAGTAGTATGCTGGGAATAAGGTTTACCAAGTTTGTTCAAATGAATGACCTTGACTTATATTCAAGGTCACAGGGGTCAAATATGTTAAAAACCTTTAAACATTTTTTTTTTAATAACTAAGAGGCATAGGGTTACGATATTTGGCCAGTAGCATGCTGTTATTAAGGGCTATCAAGTTTGTTTAAATGAATGACCTTCGTCCATTCTCAAGGTCACATGGGTCAAATATGTTTAAAACCTTTAAACAACTTCTTCTGAATAACAAAAAAGCCTAAGATAATGATATTTGGCCAGTAACATGCCAGGATAAAGGGCTACCAAGTTTGTTCAAATGAATGACCTTTACTTATTGTCAAGGTCACAGGGGTCAAATATGTTTAAAACCTTTAAACAACTTCTCAATAACCGAAAGTCTTAGGATGATGATATTTGGCCAGTAGCATGCTGGGATAAAGGGCAACCAAGTTTATTCAAATGAATGACCTTTACATATATTCAAGGTCACAGGGGCCGATGATATTTGGTCATTAACAGGCTGGGATGAAGGGCTACCAATTTTGTCAAAATTAATGACCTTCGCCCATATTCAAGGTCACATGGGTCAATATGTTTAAATCTTTAAATGACTTGTTCTGTATAACCAATAGGTCCAGGGTTATGATATTTTGCCAAAAGCATGCTGGGTTGAAAGACTTTAAACTCTGTTCAACCTAATGTCCTTTTTCGACATTCAAGGTCACAGGCGTCATATGTTTAAATCTTTTAATAGGCTCTTATGAATCAAACACTGATATTCTTCCTGTAGCTGCATTTTAGTCCACTTTTATGATTACAAGTGTGAGATTAATACCAGGTGAGCGATTCAGGCCCATTGGGCCTCTAGTTTTATACGTAACATTTTCGGGTATAAGGGTTAGGGTTAGGGACCTGCAAATGTTATGCAGGCATGGCAAGGCTCGCATGAAAGCAGCATCGGGTTACTAGTTCCGACCTTATTTCATAAACTAACTCTGGTACAACCGGTCCAATCGTTTGGATCGCGATAAACGAATGCAAAGTGGCGCCAACTTGTCTTCACAAGGTCACCATTTGCCTCCAGAATAGAGAAATCTCGCCTACTTCATTGTGATATATAACTTATATACACATGTATTCTAGTGAGTCATACTCACAAACATGGACAGTAGAACAGTTGTTGATAAAATTGCATTTCATTAGAAACAATAACCCAATATACTCTTTTATTATTTTATTACAGAAACACATTTTTATATTGACAACTTTGACGTTGGGTTATCGGCGTTCTAGCTGGTCACGCCACTCCGATGTGGCCCCGGGGCTTTCCGCTTCAATTCCCTGGGGGACTTCGAGGTTCAAGTTTAATTTCCGCTAGTTCAGCAGGCTGCTCTGTAAAAGACAAGTTTGGACAAATTTCGGTTGACGTTTCCGGACCATTGAACACACTCTAGTTGTCCTTCATAGATAATGCTAACAGGGCATTGCAAGTCGGAATGAGATTCATCAGTCTGGTATGAATAATAAATGCTAATTCGGAATGAGATTCATCAGTCTGGTATGAATAATAAATGCTAATTCGGAATGAGATTCATCAGTCTGGTATGAATAATAAATGCTAATTCGGAATGAGATTCATCAGTCTGGTATGAATAATAAATGCTAATTCGGAATGAGATTCATCAGTCTGGTATGAATAATAAATGCTAATTCGGAATGAGATTCATCAGTCTGGTATGAATAATAAATGCTAATTCGGAATGAGATTCATCAGTCTGGTATGAATAATAAATGCTAATTCGGAATGAGATTCATCAGTCTGGTATGAATAATAAATGCTAATTCGGAATGAGATTCATCAGTCTGGTATGAATAATAAATGCTTATTCGGAATGAGATTCATCAGTCTGGTATGAATAATAAATGCTAGTTCGGAATGAGATTCATCAGTCTGGTATGAATAATAAATGCTAATTCGGAATGAGATTCATCAGTCTGGTATGAATAATAAATGCTAAGTTTGTTTTGAACACAAACAGTTATTGAAAACTTATTTTGCGAGCTTTGGAAAACGCCAGTGCAAATGACCGGTGTCTCGCTCACTCACTTAGCCACAATGTGCCGAGTCAGTAAAGACAGCTAACAATAAACTAAGCATTGAAAGGCCTACGATACTTCAATGCTTTATGTAAAGGCCTACAATACTTCAATGCTTTATGTAAAGGCCTACGATACTTCAATGCTTTATGTGAAGGCCTACGATACTCAAAATTAACGATTTACCACTTGAATAACTACTATATATTTGAGTCGTGTTTTTCAATTGGTACGCCAAATGTTACGTCACATTTAAACGATGGCATTATTTGAATTATAATCAAATAAGGCCAACCAAAGAACCTATCATATATATGATATAATGAATATGAAACTCATTCACATTCTATATAGACTGGGCTGGTTTCATTAAAATTCATACGGAAAGTAGTTTAGGATCCTCTAATTTTTGTTAAGACGATTTATAGACAACTCTACAACTTCTCCGGTAGTCTCGCTCTTACCAGAAGTGCTGTTACTGTCACGCCGCGGGCCTGTTAGGGTGAGGTCGTCACTCATCCGCCGTGCGTCTGTCGTGTTGCAGTCGTCTCGAGAGTGTCTCGTGCTCGCTTCGGACATCAATTTACAGAGTTCATCCAGGCTGAGGTTATCACGTGACAGTCTGGCGACAACATCGCTGTACAGTCGTGTATAATCCGAGAGTGTCGCCAGGACGGACACCAAAGTCGCCTTTGAATAAAAAAGTAAATTACTGCTTTTAAACAAAATGGCTGGTTGTAAGTGTTTATAACGGGGGTGNCAGCATACTACATCGACGCTGAAGAAATGGTGGAAATGGTGATATCCTGAACGAAGTGGCAATTCTATGAAGGATGCAATCAAGAAAATCGAGAAAGACCAAGGAAAAATACTATAGTGATGCCATACGTGAAAGAAATTTCAGAAACCATTCAGAGGTTTATTAAGTTCCACAGGATGTCGACCAGCATGATACCACTCCAGATCATCACGAATAGACGTATACACCCCAAGACAAATTATCCGATCAGTGCCACGTGTTATTGCGCGCAAAATGTCGAATGAACTCTCTGATTCTATGTACATGTGGGCAACGGGACAGACGTTAGGAACACAACTGAACGAACGTCAACAACAGGAAATGCAGAAAAATGCCACAACGGACCATGTCACGTGACAGCCTGGCAGCAGGCTAAGATCTTGGACAGCGAGACCAACCAACGAGTGAAACAAGTGAAGGAAGCCATCCCGATTAGAAAACATGCTATAGTTGTGAATAGAGACCAGGGAGATTAATGCCGCCACAAAGATCTGCGGTGAAAAGGGGAAAGTAACTCCGGCTACACTAACGACCAAGGTGTGCAGCATGTTGTCGAAACTGTATAGGTCAAAATCATGTGAACTTTCACAATTCTTATACCTACAATGTATCTATATGTCTGTCTAAATATGCCTTTACATATCCACGTTATATTCCAATTCACCATCGATTCCTTTCGAATTTCGGCAAATAAAATAATAAATTATTATGTAAAATGAATATAAAGAATTGGCAGTATGCCATGCAGAGTACCTGATATGTGACTTTGTCTTTACTGAAGTCGTTTCGTGTCGTGTACAGGTCGTTCTGTAGATCTCGAATGACCTTGGTCTGGCTCTGACACTTCGCCCACAAAATGTCCCTTTCGTTTTGGACATTTGTCAGCTCGTCCCGAGATGTGTCCCTCTGATAGTTTTCAATGGTTTGGGTCTGGGCGTGAACTTGTGGTGTAGGTAAAGTTTGAACGGCAGAATCTGAACACTCGGCAGAGGGGTGTGTGGTCTCTTTGTAACCAGCTGCATTGTCCTCACTTGATCCTCTAATACAATCGGCCTACGGAAAAAAACACCGTAATTGAAGTTCAAATAATTAAAATTAATCTGAGTCAAGATATAAACAAAGAAAGGATTCAGATGGAAACCCTTGAACAAGTACAAGGATAAGACCAGATGTTCTGAAAGAGTAGGGAGCTTCTGGTTCATCGACGACAGTCGTCATGTGAATTCAGGTCAAATCTAAGTAATGTCATGCCCTCAAAGTAAGTATCGGGGTAGTGATGTACAGAGTATACCACAGCAAATGTGTCATCTGTAAATATACAATATAACAGATTTCCCTAAAGACTCATGATATAATGGCAAGGTGTGACGGACAAGCTAATAATATAATTTATTGATTCCGTCCCTCTATTCAAACCCCAATACTTTCTACAACAGTTTAAATTCTGACGCCTGACGTGTCTTATATCTTGATGTTTACAGTGATAGCTCCATTCCCTAAGTTTCATTAGCGGAAGCCTGTATATCGTACCTGTGCATGTCCACACGTGTGCCTGAGTTCCTTGTTTTCCTGGGAGAGGTCAGCCATCGCCTGTGACACGTAAAAGCTCTGATAAGAATTCAAAGTAATACAACTTTACCGACATTAATTGTACCAGTTCAATATCCAATTCTAAGTTTAGATTGATAAACACCAGGTTACAGTATGCCTATGTGTGATTGTCTCAATTTATAATAAAGCTGAACATGAACAGAAAAAAATACAATATTCCATTGTTTAAGTTGAGAGAATAAATCACCTGAATCGTAATGTTAAAAAAATGAAATTCCTGTGTGCATTTTTTCTTTGGCATGATTTCTCCTTTAAAAAAGTATTTTTTTAAAAAGAAATCCATATCTTTTGGGACATATTACTGACATTTTAGAAGTGAAATAGGGCTTTCACTGTTATATGCAAGGATTTCATGTTATTTATTTATTCCTGAAATTTATAATAAAAAACAAATACAACTGTCATCGTTATTGCCATCTTCGCAAGCCAAGGGTAAACGATCCGGTCTACCTAGTCTCTGGAAGATCGTACCGGATCATTACCGGCATCCTCAATACTCCAGGAATTACGCTTACTTTGGCTAAACCCCCGGAATCATCCTAGATATCCATGGGTTACGCTCACATTCGCTCTTTACACCCCCTCGATATATCATAGCAAAATTGAAGGAAGACTAGTTTGGTCCTTTGATGTACGTCAAAAGTGCGGTCGTGTAACGGTTAAAAAATGACAGGCTTTGAAGTCGAGCGTCGTTCCTGTAATCTTCAAAGGACAATTATCAGACTAGTGATTGGTCAGGGTCTTACCTGACACCAATCAAATAGCTAGCCGCGTGCGTTCATTTTGGCTATGACATATTCCAGGGGTGTAGAGAGCGAAAGTGAGCTTAACCCCTGGATATCGAGGATGCCCTGGAATATGTCATAGCAAAACTGAATGCAGCTGCTAGCTATTTGATTGGTGTCAGGTAAAAAATACCTGACCAATTACTAGGCTGATACCTGCCCTTTGAAGATTACAGAGGAGCGACATCCGACTTCGAAGCCAGTAAATTTTACCGTTACGCGACCGCGAGATTATTTTGATGTACATCAAAGGATCAAACTAGTCTTCTCGTGTCATCCCCCGAAGGTGGCGCACACAGAGCCTTCGATTTTGCTATGAAATATTCCAGGGGTGAAGAGAGAATATCGAGGATACATTATCATTGGCTAGCGAAGATGCGTTACTGCATAAAGGAGAAAAACGTTTTTAGTTTTTAACGTTCAAAAATAAAGGCTATTCTGCATCTTTATCTCTCAACTTGTTGTCGAGTACATTAAATAGATTATCCAGTGTTAAGATACGATTATAGCATGTTGATGTTGTCCTTGGGTTATATCGACCCAAGACAACTATTATATCTTTCTTAGAAACGTCTCGCTTCCCATTCTCGAAACTTATTATTTACATGGTTTTATCGACCGAAATCAACATGCTGCAATTGTTTTATCATTCTTTTTTATATTTTTGTCCAATTTGGCCTATATTGTTCTATTTGGCACGATAAAATCCCCAATCGAGCAATACCGTTTCCATCGAAATAAAATGAAACTGCTGATTTAAAAACAGAAAGATGATGTCTCAATTTTGGAAAACAGCAATGTTATGAACGAAAACGTTAGGTCTATTTGGTGATTATTTTTTACTTTTCCGATGGATTTTTCCAATAAAAAATGTAATAACTATGACAACATCCTGTTTATGAGATATGCTTAAAAACAATAGAAATATTTTCATATTTCGCATTTTTTTAATCTTGGAAGTTCAAAATGTGATGTCATTTAACGATAACCTCTAAACATACACATGTGATAGCACCTATAAAATATGGTACTCCAAAAACAAATCACACTGCGTCATACAGCTGTGTCGGCTTCTTAGGACTCATTAGTGTTGCGTAAATCCCATTAATTATATGAAATACAAAAATTAGGGGAGCACTGGTTGATTTCAAATTCAAACTAATAATGAGAAAAGTGTGCATCTTATGACGCGTGCCATTTATAAATTTTAAGAGACCACGGTGACTATCAATTTAACGGCAAACCTCGGGGACTGAGAACTCCACCAGCAGAGTCTACAACCTTGTATCTTGAATACCTGAATATAACTGCTACATTTTGGTACTCAAAAGAAGAGTATATGCGCTATCACATATTCTTACCTTCATAAGATCATCCATTTTCTCAAGAAGAGGTCGGAGACAATCGTTTTGTTGAGATGCAAGCTTAAGAGCCACCTTCTCAGCCAAAGTGTCCGCATTTTCCAGACGTGTGATGTGAGTGTAATGCTTGTCTTTTTGTGTGTCGCGTCTGTTCTCTGTGCCTTCCTGTGTGACGCTTGTGTCCTTCGGTGCGACGCTTTTGTCCCATGTGTCTGTAAGTTTGACGCCGGTGTCATGCGTGTCTTTACGTATGCTGCTAGTGTCCTGTGTGTCTTGATCTGTAACGACAGTGCCCCGTGTGTTTTGATCTGTAACGACGGTGTCCTGTGTGTCTTTACGTGTGCTACTAGTGTCCCATGTGTCTTGATCTGTAACGACGGTGTCCCGTGTGTCTTTGTCTGTAACGACGGTGTCCTGTGTGTCTTGATCTGTAACGACGGTGTCCTGTGTGTCTTGATCTGTAACGACGGTGTCCCGTGTGTCTTTACTTGTGAGGCTGATGTCATTTGTTTCTTTACGTGTGACGTTGTTTTCCCGCAAGTCCTCCCTTGAAACATTAGTGGGAGGTGTGTCTCTCCCTGACAAACAAGCGTCTTCCTGTGCAGACGGTGACTGTACTGTAAACGTGGCTTCCAGGTTCACGGTGACATCCGGGGTAGAGCCTCGTCTTGGGCTGCACGACATGACCTCGGTTCTACCGGGGGGTGTTCCCTGTATCTCGTTGCCTTTCTCCTGTGGACTGTTATCTATCAAATCATCTGCTGTAGTATTTCTATCACCTTCGTCACCAGATATCTGTTTTTCATCACTGATTTTATTCTCTTTCTTTTTCTTTTTTCTTAATAAACCCTTTGTCTTAACAGTCACCCCTTTTTCCTCTGTTTTAATCTTCAGCACTTTTTTTTCTGTTAGTTCGGTTTTTGCTGTCCTTTTCGATATCTTTTCTTTCTTTGGTATTTTAGAATACGCTTCAGTTATTTCGTTGTCATTGGCGTCTTTAAATACGCTGTTTCTTGTAAGTTTTGCTTTCTTCGTGACATTTGGACTCTCTTCGTTGTACGATATTGTTTTCTTCTGTCTTCTGTTTGACGCTCTCCTTGACAGCAATCCATCTCCCTCCTCCTCCCCCGACACATTTTTGTCCACTTCATCATGTTTCTAGAGAAGGTGAAACAAAGGAAATACAAAACATTTGGCTTTCATATTTGCAATGCAAAGGCAAATTAGCATGATGAATCAAAACGAGGACACAACGTATTTCTCAGAGATAACTATTATGAATACTGACATCTTCTGTATAAAGGACCCATGTTATGTGTACATACATCTCTATATACAGGACCCATGTATGTACACATAACATGGGTCATGTATATAGATATGTATGTATACAGGACCCATGTTATGCGTACAAACATCTCTATATACATGACCCATGTTATGTGTACAAACATCTCTATATACAGGACCCATGTAATGTATACATACATATCTATATACAGGACCCATGTTATGTGTACAAACATCTCTATATACAGGACACATGTTATGTATACATACATGTCTCTATATACAGGACAAGTGTTATGTATACGTACATGTCTCTATATACAGGACAAGTGTTATGTATACATACATAGAGATGTATGTATACATAACACGTGTTCTGCATATAGAGATGTATGTAAGCAGGACACATGTGTCCTGTATAAAGAGATGTTTTTAAACATAACATGGGTCCTGTATATAGTGATGTTTGTACACATAACATGGGTCATGTATATAGATATGTATGTATACATAACATGGGTCCTGAATATAGAGACATGTATGTATACAGGACAAGTGTTATGTATACATACATCTCTATGTTATGTATACATACATCTCTATATAAAGAACACCTGCTATGCATACATGCATCTCTATATACAGGACACATGTGTCCTGTTTACATACATCTCTATATGAAGAACACGTGTTATGTATACATACATCTCTATATACAGGACACATGTAATGTATACATACATCTCTATATAAAGAACACCTGCTATGCATACATGCATCTCTATATACAGGACACATGTAATGTATACATACATCTCTATATATAGGACCCATGTTATGTGTACAAATATCTCTATATACAGGACCCATGTGTCCTGTTTACATACATCTCTATATGAAGAACACGTGTTATGTATACATACATGTCTATATAAAAGATATGTGTTATGTATACATACATGTCTATATAAAAGATATGTGTTATGTATACATACATGTCTATATGAAAGACATGTGTTATGTATACATACATGTCTCTCTATCCAGGACACGTGTTATGTATACAGACATCTCTTTATACAGGACACATGTTATGTATACACAGGACCCATGTTATGTGTAAAAACATCTCTATATACAGGACACATGTTAAGTGTACAAACATCTCTATATACAGCACCCATGTTATGTATACATACATCTCTATATAAAGAACACCTGCTATGCATACATGCATCTCTATATACAGGACACATGTAATGTATACATACATCTCTATATAAAGAACACCTGCTATTCTCTATATACAGGACCCATGTGTCCTGTTTTCATACATCTCTATATACAGGACCCATTTTATGTGTACATACATCTCTATACACAGGACCCATGTTATGTGTAAAAACATCTCTTTATACAGGACACATGTGTCCTGTTTACATACATCTCTATATACAGGTCCCATGTTATGTGTACAAACATCACTATATACAGGACCCATGTGTCCTGTTTACATACATCTCTATATGAAGAACACGTGTTATGTATACATACATGTCTATATGAAAGACATGTGTTATGTATACATACATGTCTATATAAAAGATATGTGTTATGTATACATACATGTCTCTATATACAGGACACGTGTTATGTATACAGACATCTCTTTATACAGGACACATGTTATGTATACACAGGACCCATGTTATGTGTAAAAACATCTCTATATACAGGACCCATTTTATGTGTACATACATCTCTATACACAGGACCCATGTTATGTGTACAACCATCTCTATATACAGGACCCATGTGTCCTGTTTACATACATCTCTATATACAGGTCCCATGTTATGTATACATACATCTCTATGTTATGTATACATACATCTCTATATACAGGTCCCATGTTATGTATACATACATCTCTATGTAAAAGACATGTGTTATGAATACAAACATCTCTAAATAAAAGACACATGTTATGTATACATACATCCCTATATAAAGGACACGTGTTATGTATACATACATGTCTCTATATACAGGACACATGTTATGTGTACATACCACTCTATATACAGGACCGATGTTATGTGTACATACATTTCTATATCCAGGACACGTGTTATGTATACATACATGTCTATATAAAAGACATGTGCTATGTATACATACATGTCTCTATATACAGGACAAGTGTTAGGTATACATACATCTCTATGTAAAAGATATGTGTTATGAATACAAACATCTCTAAATAAAAGACACATGTTATGTATACATACATGTCTCTCTATCCAGGACACGTGTTATGTATACAGACATCTCTTTATACAGGACACATGTTATGTATACATACATGTCTCTCTATCCAGGACACGTGTTATGTATACATACATGTCTATATAAAAGACATGTGCTATGTATACATACATGTCTCTATATACAGGACAAGTGTTTTGTATACATACATGTCTATATAAAGGACAGCTGTTATGTATACATACATCTCTATATAAAGGACAGCTGTTATGTATACATACATCTCTATATGCAGGACACATGTTATATATACAGACATCTCTATATACAAGACCCATGTTATGTATACACAGACATCTCTATATACAGGACACATATTATGTATACAGATAGTTCTATATAAAGGGCACCTGTTATGTATACATACATCTCTATATAAAGAACACCTGCTATGCATACATGCATCTCTATATACAGGACACATGTTATGTATACAGACATCTCTATATAAAGGGCACATGTTATGTATACAGATAGTTCTATATAAAGTACACCTGTTATGAATGCAGACATCTCTATAAAAGGAAAACGTTGTTAACCTCTTTGTAAAGGAGATATATAGTTGTATCGAGTCCGATTTGCCTGTGGGTACTGTCTAATGATAGTATTGTACTGACCTTCTTTGGCCGTCCTCTCTTTACAGGCATGTCGTGATGAAAGTCCGTTGGTTCCCAAAGTAAAGCCTTCAAAACTGTTCTCTGAATCAGAAGACAAGCAATGCTGCACACTATAGCTCCCATGAAGTCCCAGCGTGTCACCTCTGTGCCAACTATATGCGTCTGTAAGACTCGGACTGGGCAGTACTCTTGGGGCTGAGTTCTACTCATCTTAAACACAGGCAATGTTGATAAGCCTTTCAGTTCAGCTCAGACGTGTTAGGGGAGTGTCATCTTGGAACGGCCTACCTCCACAGGGACATGAGGAATTGTTACAGCTACTTTGGTTACCTAACCTGAGGTCCAGAATGATCAGGTCCCGGTGGCTACCTTATGCTGATACACAGTGAAGGTGTAGGGGTGCTGGGCCTCGAGAGTACACACAGGCACTACTTACATTGTACGGTGTAGGGGTGCGGGGCTCGAAAGTACACACGGGCACTACTTACAATGTACGGTGTAGGGGTGCGGGGGTCGAAAGTACACACAGGCACTACTTACAATGTACGGTGTAGGGGGGCGGGGCTCGAAAGTACACACGGGCACTACTTACATTGTACGGTGTAGGGGTGCGGGGCTCGAAAGGACACACGGGCACTACTTACAATGTACGGTGTAGGGGTGCTGGGCTCGAAAGTACACACGGGCACTACTTACAATGTACGGCGTAGGTGTGCGGGGCTCGAAAGTACACACAGGCACTACTTAAAATGTACGGCGTAGGGGTGCGGGGCTCGAAAGTACACACAGGCACTACTTAAAATGTACGGCGTAGGGGTGCGGGGCTCAAAAGTACACACAGGCACTACTTACAATGTACGGTGTGGGGGTGCGGGGCTCGAAAGTACACACAGGCACTACTTACAATGTACGGTGTAAATAAAAAATAAAAAGATAAAACAGCATCGAAATAGAGCATGTACGCAATGCCGTTACGAGTGTTGTCGATCAACAATGTAGTACATTTCTATTAAGAAACAAAACAAGTTCGACTGAACGTAAAACCAGTTTCATAGAAAAAAAAATGTTTCAGCGTGGTTTTTATGACGTCGCGGATTATTTACGCTAATGGAAAATAGCTCTACATGCCAGCATTATGAGTACAATGATATCTACAACCAAACATTACACTGCGTTTATATTAAGTAGTATATTTACATGTGTTCAGATACATATTATATAAATTACTATTTTGTTTTTCGACTTCGGCATTTATTTGTGATGATTTATACGGAAAAGATGTTAAAGTTGTAGTACATAATACATACGTGCCAACTTCCAATTGTTGAATTATTTTCTATTTCCAGTGGTGTATGGTATTTTAATGTGATAAGTGACGTTTTCTATTTGTGTGTTCTCCGTTTTATCTAGTCTTCCCATCCGACAAGGGATACTTCATTACACCACGACGACTATTAGTGCTTTGGGATGATTTATATATCGACTTTCATTTTATCTCAAGAGACATCCACCTATTTAGAGGTCTAAAATACATTAATGATGGAATTGAAATGTCTACCTGGCCCTGACGTACATCGTGAAAGTTTACCGACATTGACGTCAGAGTATGGACTAACCAAACCTGACTTAAGAAAGATGTCAGGGTTCGATGCCGCAGGTCGGTGGGTTTTCCGGTTTTCCTCCTCCTCCACCTCCTCTACAACCACCACCGCCACCTGACTTAATAGGAATTATATTACAAAAGCGATATATACAAGGTTAAAGTTTAACAGACCCTCAGAGAGCGACCTAAGCCAACACAACGTTACTAATATTGACGGTAGAGCGAGGTATTAATTACCTTTGTGTAAGAGCGAGTTCCATCCGACCTTGACCTTGCGAAGTCTAACCTACATGTACAGTACCTTAACATTGATGTGTTCTCAAGCTGACCTTGACATTTGGCCGATGACCAACCGCAATTGACTTTTAGAATCAGGTTTTACTTACATTGTCCTTAGAGATAGGTATTACCAAATTTGATATAGGAGTAAAAGTCTTGGAGATGAGGGATGTTTGACTGACTTCCACGGTAGGGTTAAGAATAACTGAATTGAAATTAAAGTTACTGTGAAATATAACCAACCTTGACACTTTGTGATACCTTACCGACCTTGATGTATGAGCAAAATCTAATCGACTATCACCTTGGAGACAGGAGTGCAATCTAACCGACCTTGACCTACAGCATGGGTCTAACTTACTTTGACCCGAGATCAATGTCTAACCGACTTAAAACTTTATAGAAGATCTTACTGACTTGATGTTAGAGTGAGATCTTACCAACCTTGTGATTACAGTTGTCTTACTCATCTTGACTATAGAGCGAGGTCTAACTGACCTTGGAATTAGTGAGGTCTAATTGATCTTTTCACTACAGTGAATCATCACTGACCTTGACATTAGAGTATGGTATTATCAACCATGACTTTAGAGTCTGGTATGACGGACCTTGACCTAAGAGCAAGGTACCTTGACCTTGAATGTGGTCTTACTGATCTTAACGTTAGCATAAGGTCTAATTGACCTTGACATTGTGGCAAAACGACCTTGATATTGAAGTGAGCTTGAACTGACCTTGATGTTACAGCAGACCTTGATTTTTGAGTAAGGGTCCAAAAATTTATGTGGTACACATTAAACATGAGGTTTTACTTATAAAACATGTCTGTAAAGTTAAAATACCTACAGTTGATGACAAATAAGTGTTATTTCAATCAAAAGGTCAATAATTCACTTTTATATTTTCTTTGATGAGAGGATCTTAAACCAATATCAACGTAGCTGTGTATCATGTTGCTTTTTAAATTCTGAGCCAGCCTTAACATGTCCTAACAGAGACACATATATACATGTACATGTAAAGCATACATTTTTGGTTCTAATTCCTCCAGATGTTTCCTCTTAACTTCTATTGTCCAAGATGACAGCTGAGTTATTTTGGATTCCTCCTCAAAGTTCTACAAAGTTAGTGATAAGCAATGAATTTTTAACCGTTTACAGAAGACTTACAATCATATATGATTTCCTGGCAGCAGAAACTGCAGTATAAACATTACAACATAACAAACATAAAAGCGTGATTAATTTGTAAATTTATTTAAGAAAGTTCCATACAGAACATATACATCCAAAATGTTTGTGAAATAGGATTACATAAAAAAAGTTCATTATTCTATATTTCATGATTGAGAGAAACTTCAGATTTTTTTTGATTTTTTTTGTGGTGTTGAGGAGACAACTCGCTACCTATAAAACTAGATGTACATTTACATAGAGTATGACTGCTATGTGAAGTTAAAAGTAAAAACTGTTCTGGTGTTATATTATAATACCATTAGGAAATGAAATTATAAAACCAAGGTTTTATGCAAAGTTATTTTTGTTAATCCTAATGGTAAGGTTTTTGCTGCCTACGTATGTAATCCTGGGACTGACTAGAGAGAATTTCTCTTTAGCTCATTTGGTGGAGTATCAGACTATTAAACAAGAGGTCCTGGGTTCGACCCCTAGCCGAGGCACTGAAAACATAATGACCTCTGCTACAATAATATAATGGGTTAAATCATTTACCCCTGCAATTTCATAATGAACTATTCCAACCTTTGAATTGGAGGAGTTTAAGTGTGTCTTCAGGGGTGAATGAGTCAATATGTATTCTCTCTGTGCTGTAAATATCTGAGTCACATTATTCCCTGAAACCTGTCTATATGGAATGCCATATCAACAGAATACACTCTTTACAATCCATCCACTCTACTGTACTGATTTGCACAGTAAACAATAGTTTTATAAATGTTCATCCAACCATGGTACGCTTCCACCCTCTCATTCTCACCTCCTCTAACCAACCATGGTACGCTTCCTCCCTCTCATTCTCACCTCCTCTAACTTATTGAGGACATCTTTGGCTCCATCTTTGTTAGTGACACAGTAAGCATCTAGAATGACCTGGAACACTCGCTCTGTGTTAGGGTGTGTACTCAGCAAGGCTCGTTCCAACACATACAAGTCCACACCTTTGTCTTCTGCCATATTTTCAAAATGACTCAAGCCGAAGTCTATCATAACAATATTGAAAGATGAAGGTTGTCCTTTCACCAGCATATTGGAAGAGGTCAGATCACCATGAATGATATTGTTTTTGTGCATGACACCTAAGATTTCACCAATTTTCTTCCCAAGAGGTTCAAGGACAGTCATTGCTGAATTGATATCTGGTATTTCCTGCTGGATGTTCATTATATAGTCTCTGACTGTCTGGGAATCCTGCACCTCCTCCATATAAATACTGCTGTTGACCATGTCGACAAAGTAAACCGTTGGTGTAAAAATGCCTGTAGGAAAAAAGTTGGAATGAGTGAGCTTATTCTGTACATGAATATATCTATTTTAGCTATCATTATTTGACTAAATTTTTGGCAATTTCAAATGTATTCAAAATCTTGGATTCATTTTTGTTTAAGAACAATTGGTTATTAATGTGTCTATTTTAAAACAAAACTCCAAAACTTTGCCTAGGTGATGTGTATAACATCGTAAATAGCAATACTGTGATATTTATAATAAAGTGTAGTTCTTTGGAACCTTGCTATTTATGATTAAAGCTCTTAAATTGTAAAATACCAACACCAAAAGCAGAAAAGGTAAGTAAAAAGGTTAAAAAAACAAAAACACACAGAATTATCTCCCTTCCTATATTTTGGGGGTAAAGAAACTAGAAATACTAATACATGTCTACTATGGAGAAAGAGCATTAAAGTTTACCCTTGAGTAACAGTAAAACATACATATTCTGAAACTTACACATGCACCTTTAATTCTTTAAAAACTAAAAGTAAACTTTGCACAGTTTTCAATTATTTTGAAAAAAATCAGTGCAAATATGAAGCAGAACACACATCTTGAGGAAATTTAGCATATTGAACATAAATGTGATTCTGTCAAGCACAACACTTTGTTTAGAGACTATCTTTCTATGACATAACAATCATGTCATATTTCAATCAGCCTGTCTTGTGATTGGTTATTTCACGAAGTGAAGAAATACTGAAAAACATCCTTGACAATGCTGTGCCATATCTCTTTGCTGGTGTGTTTATAGACTTTATTTGGTTTCTAATTGTTCCATTGTCTAAACTAAGTTACCAGGTAGATCATTCAAAAAGGCAAATTTCCCCCCAGTTTGGTGGTCTACAAATTTTCCCCAGTTTGGTGGTCTGCTGGTCTACAAATTTTCCCCAGTTTGGTGGTCTGCTCACCAGCTTTACTGCAGATCTGGGCAGTCTGCTCTAATTTTTATTGAAGGATCTAGTGATACTGACTTTCTGGTGAAAAATCTTTAAGAAGGTGTCATCTCATCAATTCCTATAAATATATTTACATTTTATTTGAGAGAAACTTAATTAAAAAGTGTCACAGACTCAAAACAGTAAAATGTATGTGGATATTTTCTGAGAATGTCTGTGTGCATGAATTGTCATAAGGCAGATTTTATAAGTTTACTACTATAGATACATGTACCTTCAAGTTGAGCTACATGCTGAAAAGGTAAAAATAATTATCTGCTACACCTCAGTATGAAACAAAACGGTGCTTGAATTTCGAAAACAGTCATGATCAGATACTTCATTTTGAAGAATAGAGTCAGAAAACAAAAAAGATGATTGAAATATACTATAAAAACTTTATACAAATTAAAGCTGACTTTCATTTTCCGTTTTTCAAGGTTTCCTTTGTTTAATTATTCTCAATTTCTTCAGCCTATTCCCTTCTATAATGTCAACTTCTCAGAACTCAGTACAATTGTCACAAATGATAGCAGTGATGTTTTGGTACTTTTGACCCTACAAACTCTAGACAGACACTATCCAAATTGAGCTACCCGGTAACTGGCAAACAATTCAACATACCCCACTTTCAATACATTCCTCTCTCCACAGGGCCACAGGAAACTTGTGCTATCTTTGCCTCTGAAGACAACACTATTTATAACCTACCGAACAACTGTAAAAGGAGAAGGAAAATACATGGCCAGACTGTAACTCGAATCTAGGACCCTCCAAACTCTAGACAGACGCTCTAACCACTTGAGCTAACTGGTCGCAGGCGATCAACTTAGTTCATTCCCCTTTATTTGTATAAGATGTTTCGGTAGACAGATAGACGGACGTATATAAACAGACAGACATTCGTTATTTACTCGTAGGTCGAGATTATGACAGAACAATTAAAAAATCGGTAAGAGATCTTTCCGATTTGCTGCTTCCCAGGTGTGGAACAGCCTACCAAATGAACTTCAATTAGCTGAAAACTATAAGTCGTTTCATGGGCTGCCCCGCACCTGGAACAAAAATGTCTGCTCATGTGCTATCTGCACACACCATATAGTGTGAGTTGTCCCCCTTTGGAATCTACCTTCATGTTTTATACTACAACTATTTAATTTCACTGCTGCTTGTGTTATTTAGTTTAATATACTTCAGCAATATTATACTTATTATATAATTGATATTTATGTTAGAATTGAGCTCCATTATTTAAAAGATCATTACTTTTTTACAATATCATAATTATAGCTCTGTTTCTATTTATGCCTTCATTGTCTCTTTTTAATTCACACTATATTAGTGTATATCCTGTACATTTTAACACTTTGCTACATTAGCATATATGTACATTACACTAGTATAGTGTCTTAACTTGTCTTTCGTAACACTTGTGTGACATTCAAGTGTGATATCATATACATGCTCTACTGTATAATTTCAGCATATCTAATTTGAACTGTTGTCCTGTTTTTATATTTATTCATAAGTACTGTGATCCTTGTTAAATTTTATATATGTTTTGTCGCAAGAATAGCACTACAGTGCTAATGTTTTTATGTTACATGTATATATATGCGACGTTAAATAAAGCTTCTTGAATCTTGAGAACAAAATACATTTGAAATGTACTCGCACTATTTCTTGCATTTCATAAATTATATTATTATTCATATGGCATTTAAAAAGTCATTCATTTCATTGAACATTGTTAACAGGGTTCTTGAAATGTTTATCATCACACATTCCCAGATATCATCATTAAGACGAATGACGCTTCGATCACAAAGAAGGAAACTACATTGTTCCTTATCATCTAAGTTTGAAGGTACTTTCGGTACCGAAAATATCGACTACTGAAACGTCTAGAATTCAGTTCATAAATGTTTGACTGTACTGAAGCAAGATATTCTACAAATCACAGCTAGATACTCTACCACACATGCGGCTTCGAAGCATTGCCCGCACTTCAGACTTCATTCTCTGTGCAGTTAATGATGCATCAAGAGTTGGATGTCTGTATGTTTTCTTGAAACGCTCTTTAACGATACACGGTCTTCCATAGAAATTTTCTCGGTACAATTTTGCTTCAGCGCCCTGTTTCATCAAAGTTCTTTCGGTTGCCATTTCCACTTTTTTGCCTAACTGACGTTAATTTAAACCTTGATTAAACAGTTTTTAACTTGCAGGAAGAAAACATTTTGAAGATTGAGATTTCCAATACATCTTTTTTACTTTTCATTTCGAAAGAGTTCCATGAGTGTTCAATTAATCCCCGCTTATTGCTATCTATTTTTCGATCCGTTAACACGTTTTCTATTTTTATTACCATATAAAAAAAATGATTTTTTAAAATTTGGATTGCCACGTATACTTTGATACATATATTCATAAACGAACATGTAAACAAAAATCATGCAATGTCTGCTCCCTGAAAGCCGGCATAAAACGTCGGCCATGGCTCAAGCTGGAGCGAAATCAAAGAGGTTTACTCTTTACTATTTTCCGACGTCGTTTTCATCTCAAAAGGTATACAATCAATGAAACCTACATTTCGTTTTTATTTGTGCATTGTATGTCGATATGTGGTCATAGATTAACGTGTTTGATTGCATGCACGACGCGTTGAAACCTTGTATCTTTGATCTTTCTGTCACTCAATAATAGCTCGACATCCAACAACATAACCAGTCTGCAAAGTAAACATATTCCTTTGGATGTCGATAAAATAGACTTCAATAAATACTTTTGACATGTCGATTTTAATTAGAGGATTATGTTCAGTATAATGTAGAAAGGTTAATTCAATTCAAGCTCAAGCAGTCAAGGTCAAATAAAATATAAATAAGTAAAACTATCAATTCGTTTTATGACTGTGGGTTGGAGTTCGCAGATTTGTAGGTGAGTGTCACATGAGACAAATTGAATGATATGATCTATTTCCAAACTGTTTGAGGCGCATATCTAGTGAAAAAAAAATCACATTTGATATTTAAAGGGTATTAGACTTGAAGAGGGTCGCAAGGAGTTCTACGCCTGAACTTTGCTACTTGGGTATATATTATAGACATAAACGTTTCTACTTTTGAGACTGAGTTGCTTCCCTTACTGTGGAATTCATCTTTCATTTTGGTGCTATTCAAGCTACTCCCATAACATGAGAGGCCGCAGGCCTTTTTTCAATCGGATATGATTTTGCCGAAGTTTTTCGCCGTGTAAAACCTCTAACATTGTTGGAGTACTATTCAACCTTGTAGTGGATTACTGTTATACTATAAAATGTGTTTTATATCATAAACATCACCATTGATGGAGCGTTTGTACAGTGAAGAAGAAGACATTGTAGAATATATATATTCATCTTAGAATTGACTTAAATAAGTATTAAAATAGTGGCAGTGCTTTGGCAGAATACTAACCACAATACAAAGGAGAACGAGATCCAACTATTTTACTTGCCTCAATTGTGAGCCCACCCATGTAACATTATATACTGGTTCAGTTTACTGCTGTGCAAATTAGTTTTCTCTAACTTGACTTGACTTGAAGATAACAATGGTACATAATTTCAAACACAACAAAATATAATCATCACAGCATGCATCACAACCACAAAGTACTAAGCGCTAAATGTCTTGCAAACGTAAATCTTGTGCAGAATTAAATATTATGATAAGAGAAATGAGTTGAATATATATATGCCAATACGGCACAAAGTACATGCTATTGCAGCATAATCTAAAACAACAAAGAACACAAATAATAATGTATATGATAAGTATAACCACGGACTAAGATAACATATTCCGTGGTATAACATGTAATGAAAGCACACTCAATAGAAAATTTTAAGCATTACATGCATTAGAAAAATATAATTCACTGTAGCCACACAGGTTAATCTACAAACACAATTTATAGTTACATATAGGGTCATCCCAGTTGTGCCATAGCCTCCGGAAGACAGGGAAAGCTTGATCAGCCTGTCTGATTTCATTTAGTAAGCTGTTCGAGGCCCCTTAACTCCCAAGCGGCCTCAAAACGGAATGATTTTAACCATACCTGGTGCTCTTGACCTCTGGAATACTAACTGTGTTCACAAGTCTGAAATTATAATCATGATTATTTATTTTCACCAGGTCAGAAATGTATTGTCGACAGCGATCATTTAGAATGTTAAAACATTTCTAAAGCCATACTTTTTAAACATTAGATATGGAGGAAAGAGCAATTATTACAGTTTAAAAGAATATGAATTAATTTTCAAAGAACCTCAATGCCTCAACTGAATTTTCTCTTAATTTCCTTGGTTAAGATACAGCATATATATATTTTTTAAAGATTGAAGACTGCCATTAATATGCAATTGCTTTCCATGTTCCTCTTTGGCCTCTGGAAATTAAAAATCAGTTTGTACTATCTGATTTTTAATAAACAGGAGGTGGTAGAGTGAATGTAAGTTCATTGGAAATCGTTACCATTCTAATGGCCTGTCCAGAAATACCTGATTGTGTGTACATATACATGTACTTAATTGTCATGTAGGTTATCAGATGGCCATTTTTTGTGCAAATCTATCCACTCTGGTATTTCTGTCTCTTCCACAGTATGATGAAAATAATGTGGTGCCCATAACTTTACATTACAGGTGTTGCTGGGATTCTATGAAAAGGAGGTTGCTTTTAAGCCCAAACTGGTCAGTCTGTTTTCTGGTCAACACAATGCACCCTGGTACGTGAAGCTGAATCCCGAGGGAGCCCATATTCCAGTCCTGAAGGATGGGGAAACTATCATCACAGAACCGGACAAAATCATAGACTATATCGACAGCAACTCAGAATCCTCAGGTAAAGAAATTATTAAAATAACAAATTAGGAATCTTAATGATACACTGTTGTACATGTATTTAATGAAACTACAAATTTACATCTATTTTATTATGGTTCCAACACTGAGTCGATGAAACATTGACAAGTGTTTATTGAAAGTGGTATTAAAAAAATCTTTAAAAAGTCTTTAACTTAACAATATGTCATTGTGATACCAATATTTTACTATGTAATTCTTGTGCATTTTACTTTCACAGTGCCAAAACTAATTCCAGACCAGGAGTCAGAGCTTGGAAAGAAAGTAGCAGAGTTACGGAAACGTTTGCAAATGGTAGAAGTGGACATAATTACATATGGAATAATTTACCATCCACACTTGTCACCTGTTGGATGTCGAATTCAGGGGGCAGTCATGAGGAGTATGAGGGGTGAGCACACACAGCTGAGACTTCTTTCTCTTGAAAAATTCCTGATCATTTCAGACTAACATTCAAAAACAGAGAGCATAATTTTAATTGTGCTGTTATATTTTCAACTCAAATTCACCCATTGAGAACTGGCATATTCACAAACAATGTAAAATAATGAATGTGACATGGGGAAAAAAAATAACAATGTGATAAGGGATGCCATGGGTATAAAATTTCTGTCCCAGCTAGGTATCCGAAATTTGAAACCAGACCTGTTTCCAGATACTCAAAACATTTGAGCAATGCATCAACATCACTGCACAAAGGGGTCTATATCATCAGAAGGGCAATAAAATCCAATAAATGTCTAAGTTTTACTTTTTACACAAACAATTTATGTATTAAACATGTCGCAACATTTCAAGACCAACTGGTCTCTTTGTCCCTTGACCAGTTGGTCTTGAAACGTTGCGACACATTTAATACGTACATTGCTTGTGTATAAAGTAAAACTTTGATATAACAAATTTCCAAACTGATGAATCTTGTTGAAGAAAATCCACTAAAGTTTCCTCATGAAAGTATACCTATATATTTTCTTTGAACTAACCAGCACTTTATAACTATAAAAAAACAATATACTAAACCTTCCTACGTAAGTCACAAGCTGTGAACCAATATACTAAACCTTCCTATGTAAGTCACAAGCTGTATAGTACTAAACATTCCTATGTAAGTCACAACCTGTATAGTACTAAACCTTCCTATGTACGTCACAAGCTGTATAGAACAAAACCTTCCTATGTAAGTCCCAAGCTGTATAGTACTAAACCTTCCTATATGAGTCACAAGCTGTATAGTACTAAACATTCCTATGTAAGTCACAACCTGTATAGTACTAAACCTTCCTATGTCAGTCAAAAGCTGTATAGTACTAAACCTTCCAATGTAAGTCACAAGCTGTATAGTACTAAACATTCCTAGGTAAGTCACAAGCTGTGTCGTACTAAACCTTCCTATGTAAGTCACAAGTTGTATAGTACTAAACCTTCCTATGTAAGTCCCAAGCTGTATAGAACAAAACCTTCCTATGTAAGTCCCAAGCTGTATAGTACTAAACCTTCCTACGTAAGTCACAAGCTGTGAACCAATATACTCAACCTTCCTATGTAAGTCACAAGCTGGATAGTACTAAACCTTCCTAGGTAAGTCACAAGCTGTGTAGTACTAAACCTTACTATGTAAGTCACAAGCTGTATAGTACTAAACCTTCCTAGGTAAGTCACAAGCTGTGTAGTACTAAACCTTCCTATGTAAGTCACAAGCTGTATAGTACTAAACCTTCCTATGTAAGTCACAACCTGTATAGTACTAAACCTTCCTATGTAAGTCACAACCTGTATAGAACTAAACCTTCCTATGTAAGTCACAAGCTGTATAGTACTAAACCTTCCAATGTAAGTCACAAGCTATGAACCAATATACTAAACCTGCCTATGTAAGTCACAACCTGTCTAGTACTAAACCTTCCAAGGTAAGTCACAAGCTGTGAACCAATATACTCAACCTTCCTATATGAGTCACAAGCTGTATAGTACTAAACCTTCCTATATAAGTCACAAGCTGTGAACCCTTTTCTTACATATATTGTAGAAATAAACTAATTGCAATAACAATACTTTTAGAATGATATTCTATGCAGAAGATTTATGCTAAGATGATCCTTTTCACATTCTCAAAGAGATAGAATGTACGATATGAAATTTGATGTTGCAGGATGAATGTGGTCAATGGTAAACTGAAAGATGTATGCTCATGTGAAGTAGGACTTCAAAGTTACAAAATTAAGTTAGTAATCAAATAATTCAATATTCAAAAGAAGAAAAAAATTGACAAGCACCAACTATTTTAATTATTATTAATGTCATTGATTCAGAAAATTTTGCCAACCGTCTGGCTGTACTGACAGACTTAGCTGCTAAACACCCAGCTCTTAGAGACAGCTACCTGATGAAGAGTCAGACAGCGGCCCAGAAGTTTGATGTCATTACAGATGCTGCACAGGTACAGCGCCACCTGGAGGAGTTACAGATCACCATGGATACAGTGGAACAACAACTGAAAAGTATCAAGGAAGGTAAGTTGTAAATTGTACTAATAATGATGTTTAAATACAGTGTTTTTTCTAAAGTTTCTCTTAAAGTAAATCTGAGGATTATTTACTAGGGTAAGTAATAGATATGTCATACTCAAAGTAATTCCCAAGGTTACTATTTACTTACATGGATGAGTTATAATCACAAGTCATGCTCAGCAGTTGACTAGGGAACCTAATAATGATAAAGTCTGGATCACCATGTTTTTATCAAGGTAACTACATAAAACTAATTTGCCCTTTCATTAAAATAATTGAATAATAACATTGTTTGAAGGGAGTCCTGACATTGCTGATGACCTGTGGCTGTTTGGGCCGATGTACACTGTAGCAGATATCAGTCTGACAGTACTGTTGAGTAGACTTGCTCTCTTGGGCCTCGACAAAACCTACTTCTCCCAGGAAAACAACCCATACACACACAACTACTACAACCAGGTGAAGAAACGACCCACCTACCTGATGATACAAAAGGAAATCTCAAATCTAAGAATGACATTACTATGGGAAAATTTGAAGACAGCCTCTCCATACCTTGCAGGTTTAGTTGGTGTAGGAATTGTAGGGACAATAGGATACTTTGTTTATAAAAAGTGGAATGAATAGGACTCTTTATTTGGTTAATTTATTATTTTTAGGATTATAGAAATAGTGTTGTGAATGTTTAACTCATTCACCCTTGAAGACACAGTTGAACTCCTCCAATTCTTAGGTTGGAATAGTTCATCATGAAATTTCAGTGGGTGAATGAGTTAAAAAATGAAATCTGTAATGTTTTCTAGATGCTGCAGAAGTAAGGAAAACATATTCTACAGTGTATTGTTTTGCTGTATAGTTTACTTTTGTGTAATTATGGATGATAATTGTACAGCTGAACTAATTCTACCTGGTTTACATGGCATCCACAGAGTTATTTACATCTACAGGGGTGAGAGGGTGGTATAGAGTTATGTACATCTACAGGGGTGAGAAGATGGTACAGAGTTATGTACATCTACAGGGGTGAGAGGGTGGTACAGCGTTATGTACATCTACAGGGGTGAGAGGATGGTACAGAGTTATCAACCTCTACAGGGGTGAGAGGGTGGTACAGAGTTACGTACATCTACAGGGGTGAGAGGGTGGTATAGAGTTATGTACATCTACAGGGGTGAGAGGGTGGTATAGAGTTATGTACATCTACAGGGGTGAGAGGGTGGTATAGAGTTATGTACATCTACCGGGGTGAGAGGGTGGTACAGAGTTACGTACATCTACAGGGGTGAGAGGGTGGTATAGAGTTATGTACATCTACCGGGGTGAGAGGGTGGTACAGAGTTACGTACATCTACAGGGGTGAGAGGGTGGTATAGAGTTATGTACATCTACAGGGGTGAGAGGATGGTACAGAGGTATGTACATATACAGGGGTGAGAGGATGGTACAGAGGTATGTACATCTACAGGGGTGAGAGGGTGGTATAGAGTTATGTACATCTACAGGGGTGAGAAGATCGTACAGAGTTATGTACATCTACAGGGGCGAGAGGGTGGTACAGAGTTATGTACGTCTACAAGGGTGAGAGAGTGGTACAGAGGTATGTACATCTACAGGGGTGAGAGGGTGGTACAGAGTTACGTACATCTACAGGGGTGAGAGGGTGGTATAGAGTTATGTACATCTACCGGGGTGAGAGGGTGGTACAGAGTTATGTACGTCTACAAGGGTGAGAGAGTGGTACAGAGGTATGTACATCTACAGGGGTGAGAGGCTGGCACAGAGTTATGTACATCTACAGGGGCGAGAGGGTGGTACAGAGTTATGTACATCTACAGGGGTGAGAGGGTAATCATTCTAATATTCTGTAGGTAGATAAGTTTTGAACTGATCTACATGGACTGTTGTGATGGTTGTGTGTGTTCTTTAGTTTATATAAGTTATGACCTTAAAAGGTGTTTCTGTATTTGTAGGTAGTGATCAATTCTGTGTATGCACTCATTCCATCACTTATTTATGTGCCATCATAAGCCAGAGATTTTAAAATTCAAATAAATTATTGGAAAACAATGCATAATTCTAATTCCAATAACTTGAGAGAATTTTAAAAGAAGTAGTTTTTCTGTATATTTAATATTTTTGAAGTTGAGACATGATATGGACTAAAAGAGGTGTGCATATCCAAATAAATGTACTAAAGTTACCAAAGCTAGCTAGTTACATAAATACATTATTTGAATTACAGGTATCGACAACGTTTTAAGTTTGAACATATTTAAACCTAAGAAGCATTTTAATCATACAATTTGATTGAAAAATGTCAATATGTTTTGACGGGTAGATGCATGCATTAAGTTTTACATTCATGTATTTTTTACCACCTCAAAGTATGCAAGATATAATCTGTCCCATGTGGGACACGCATGGAAGATTAATAAAATCTGTCAACCCCTACGAGGTAAGATAGGGAAATCTCAATCCAAGGGGCAAGTTTCTGAATTTCCCAAACAGGAGGTTTGCCTAGTGTTTTTCATTTTAAGTCTTTCTCCGAGGGTTGAGATTCCCCATCTCACTTCAAATGAGTGAATGATTCTTTTTCTCTTATTCTGTTGACCTAGTCATATACATAATGCAATGTTGATGTGAAAGGCTCAATACTCAATTCTTTGTTGACATTAATGCATTGTTTACGTGACATCATTAAATTGTTGACATGTCATTAGTTGACATGGGAATCCCCCCTCTCGGTTTTTTTCAACCCTAGGGTGAGACGGGATATCTCACACTGGGAAAAATGTGGATAGGCCTATCCAGGTTAAGAGCAAACTATATCCCAATTAGGTGAACCCAGTGAAATCTAACTTAGCTACAAGGAAGAAGAGTTCTACTTTTTCACATTTATTCTGAACTTTCACGAAAAACATTTCGGCTGCACCCAAGGAATTTCATCCCCTGACCTCTTTCTCATGAAGCAGGGAGCTAATCCTACACACTACTGGACATGGTACATCACTGAAAATACTGACACAATGTTCTACCTCCCTAATACGGTCTATAATTGTCTTTGTATAAATACAGAGGAAATAACTTAAATGTAACGGGAAAGTAATTTTTCAATCCTGAATGCAGTAGAAAAGTGATGGCACTTCGGTACATCTTCCATATAGATGTACATGAACCACATTGTCTGCTCCAAATATGTCTGTGGTTAATTTGTATGTTTAATATCTAGAAAATCTGCATGTTCTTTCTGCCATTAGGTAATTGTTGTGTTAGCAATATCAGTGTCAAGAATCACGTTTATAAAGTCATAGAATGTAGGTGGGAGAAAAAAGAATCAATTGTTATGTTTCTGTAGGTACGTTTTTTGTATGAGAGATATTAACATCAGTACCTACAGTTAGAATGTGACTATACCCCATACCTATACATGATAAAATTTGTTAATATTTACACTTTTATATTATTTGGTCCTTGTAGTTTATCCGGGTATATTGTGTACCAGTTACATCTACAGAGATTTAGATATTGGCTTACGACCTTAACTCATTCAGCCCTGAAACTTCATAATGAACTTTTCCATCCTTCGAATTTGAAGAGTTCAAATGTGTCTTCTGGTGTGAATGAGTTAAATGATGATTTATGATGTCATGTTTTGGTCAATAGAACAGTACAAATGTACCACTCAAGCTATACTCGTGTACATTTTTTTTTTTTAACAGAATTAACTTTTATGTGTATCATTTGTTATGAACAAAAGTTCAGAAAAAGTCATAACTATTAGTATACCAACACCTAGGAGCTTCCATTTAAGTCATCACTTGTTGGATATCCTCTGTGTACAAGATATAAAATTTCATAGCAGCAGAATTTTGACGTAATAACAACCATTTATTTGGTAATCTCTGCTGTTCATTGTATCTGCTAACCTTTGTCTCAGAGGATGGTTCATTGTATGCTCAAAAGTCATGGAAGTCTGTGTGTTGGTTCTATAATGCAACTTAGATTTGTTTGCCACCTTAATCGTAACACACAAAGGAGCAGATTACAAGGTAGACAAATTGATCAATCAAAATAGGATGCATTCTTCGTATTTAAGACCAATTTTCGAAATTGAAATATTTATAGTCAATAACCAAGATCTGTGTAAACAAGAAAAGATAGATGTTTTACATTTACGGGGAGGTAAGCCATACTTGTCTACCATGTGTTGACATTCCTTAAACTGGAGTTACACTTCCTGTCCTGTTTGTATACCAGATGTATACTGAGGTGTTGTACAGGACAGGAAGTGTAACCTAAGTACCTGCCCTGTACAGCACCTCAATATACAACTGGTATACAAACAGGACAGGAAGTGTAACCTAAGTCCCTGCCCTGTACAGCACCTCAGTATACCAGATGTATACTGAGGTGGTGTACAGGGCAGGTACTTAGGGTACACTTCCTGTCCTGTTTGTGTACCAGATGTATATTGAGGTGCTGCACAGGGCAGGTACTTAGGTTACACTGAGGTAAGCCATACTTGTCTACCATGTGTTGACATTCCTTAAACTGGAGTTACACTTCCTGTCCTGTTTGAATACCAGATGTATATTGAGGTGCTGTACAGGGCAGGTACTTGGGTTACACCTCCTGTCCTGTTTGGATACCAGATGTATACTGAGGCGCTGTACAGTGCAGGTACTTAGGTTACACTTCCTTTCCTGTTTGTATACCAGATGTATACTGAGGTGTTGTACTGGGCAGGTACTTAGGTTACACTTCCTTTCCTGTTTGTATACCAGATGTATACTGAGGTGCTGTACAGGGCAGGTACTTGGGTTACACCTCCTGTCCTGTTTGTATACCAGATGTATACTGAGGTGTTGTACAGGACAGGAAGTGTAACCTAAGTACCTGCACTGTCCAGCACCTCAGTATACATCTGGTATACAAACCATCTGGTATACAAACAGGACAGGAAGTGTAACTTAAGTACCTGCCCTGTACAGCACCTCAGTTTACATCTGGTATACAAACAGGACAGGAAGTGTAACCTATAAGTACCTGCACTGTACAGCACCTCAGTATACCAGATGTATATTGAGGTGCTGTACAGGGCACTTCCTGTCCTGTTTGTATACCAGATGTATACTGAGGTGCTGGACAGTGCAGGTACTTAGGTTACACTTCCTGTCCTGTTTGTATACCAGATGTATACTGAGGTGCTGTACAGGGCAGGTACTTAGGTTACACTTCCTGTCCTGTTTGTATACCAGATGTATACTGAGGTGCTGTACAGGGCAGGTACTTAGGTTACACTTCCTGTCCTGTTTGTATACCAGATGTATACTGAGGTGCTGTACAGGGCAGGTACTTAGGTTACACTTCCTGTCCTGTTTGTATACCAGATGTATACTGAGGTGCTGTACAGGGCAGGTACTTAGGTTACACTTCCTGTCCTGTTTGTATACCAGATGTATACTGAGGTGCTGTACAGGGCAGGTACTTAGGTTACACTTCCTGTCCTGTTTGTATACCAGATGTATACTGAGGTGCTGTACAGGGCAGGTACTTAGGTTACACTTCCTGTCCTGTTTGTATACCAGATGTATACTGAGGTGCTGTACAGGGCAGGTACTTAGGTTACACTTCCTGTCCTGTTTGTATACCAGATGTATACTGAGGTGCTGTACAGGGCAGGTACTTAGGTTACACTTCCTGTCCTGTTTGTATACCAGATGTATACTGAGGTGCTGTACAGGGCAGGTACTTAGGTTACACTTCCTGTCCTGTTTGTATACCAGATGTATACTGAGGTGCTGTACAGGGCAGGTACTTAGGTTACACTTCCTGTCCTGTTTGTATACCAGATGTATACTGAGGTGCTGTACAGGGCAGGTACTTAGGTTACACTTCCTGTCCTGTTTGTATACCAGATGTATACTGAGGTGCTGTACAGGGCAGGTACTTAGGTTACACTTCCTGTCCTGTTTGTATACCAGATGTATATTGAGGTGCTGTACAGGGCAGGTACTTAGGTTACACTTCCTGTCCTGTTTGTATACCAGATGTATACTGAGGTGCTGTACAGGGCAGGTACTTAGGTTACACTTCCTGTCCTGTTTGTATACCAGATGTATACTGAGGTGCTGTACAGGGCAGGTACTTAGGTTACACTTCCTGTCCTGTTTGTATACCAGATGTATATTGAGGTGCTGTACAGGGCAGGTACTTAGGTTACACTTCCTGTCCTGTTTGTATACCAGATGTATACTGAGGTGCTGTACAGGGCAGGTACTTAGGTTACACTTCCTGTCCTGTTTGTATACCAGATGTATATTGAGGTGCTGTACAGGGCAGGTACTTAGGTTACACTTCCTGTCCTGTTTGTATACCAGATGTATATTGAGGTGCTGTACAGGGCAGGTACTTAGGTTACACTTCCTGTCCTGTTTGTATACCAGATGTATATTGAGGTGCTGTACAGGGCAGGTACTTAGGTTACACTTCCTGTCCTGTTTGTATACCAGATGTATATTGAGGTGCTGTACAGGGCAGGTACTTAGGTTACACTTCCTGTCCTGTTTGTATACCAGATGTATATTGAGGTGCTGTACAGGGCAGGTACTTAGGTTACACTTCCTGTCCTGTTTGTATACCAGATGTATATTGAGGTGCTGTACAGGGCAGGTACTTAGGTTACACTTCCTGTCCTGTTTGTATACCAGATGTATATTGAGGTGCTGTACAGGGCAGGTACTTAGGTTACACTTCCTGTCCTGTTTGTATACCAGATGTATATTGAGGTGCTGTACAGGGCAGGTACTTAGGTTACACTTCCTGTCCTGTTTGTATACCAGATGTATATTGAGGTGCTGTACAGGGCAGGTACTTAGGTTACACTTCCTGTCCTGTTTGTATACCAGATGTATATTGAGGTGCTGTACAGGGCAGGTACTTAGGTTACACTTCCTGTCCTGTTTGTATACCAGATGTATATTGAGGTGCTGTACAGGGCAGGTACTTAGGTTACACTTCCTGTCCTGTTTGTATACCAGATGTATATTGAGGTGCTGTACAGGGCAGGTACTTAGGTTACACTTCCTGTCCTGTTTGTATACCAGATGTATATTGAGGTGCTGTACAGGGCAGGTACTTAGGTTACACTTCCTGTCCTGTTTGTATACCAGATGTATATTGAGGTGCTGTACAGGGCAGGTACTTAGGTTACACTTCCTGTCCTGTTTGTATACCAGATGTATATTGAGGTGCTGTACAGGGCAGGTACTTAGGTTACACTTCCTGTCCTGTTTGTATACCAGATGTATATTGAGGTGCTGTACAGGGCAGGTACTTAGGTTACACTTCCTGTCCTGTTTGTATACCAGATGTATATTGAGGTGCTGTACAGGGCAGGTACTTAGGTTACACTTCCTGTCCTGTTTGTATACCAGATGTATATTGAGGTGCTGTACAGGGCAGGTACTTAGGTTACACTTCCTGTCCTGTTTGTATACCAGATGTATATTGAGGTGCTGTACAGGGCAGGTACTTAGGTTACACTTCCTGTCCTGTTTGTATACCAGATGTATATTGAGGTGCTGTACAGGGCAGGTACTTAGGTTACACTTCCTGTCCTGTTTGTATACCAGATGTATATTGAGGTGCTGTACAGGGCAGGTACTTAAGTTACACTTCCTGTCCTGTTTGTATACCAGATGTACTTTTTCTGACCTTAAACTGTGTAGACTATGTGAGAGGTTGTGCAGTGTCCACAGGTATGGAAAGTAAAATAGCCCAGGTATCTAATCAGGATTCCTTTAATCACATCAGTGTACTTTTTGCTATGTATAGTATCTTGTGCTTGGTGTCCTTTCCTCTGAGGGATAACACATTGTTTCTGTACTGTCTTTCACAGTTCTGTTTTAGTTCTTGGTTTGAAAAGACACAACTAAGGATTGCAATTTAGGCCAGTAGATACAGTCTTGTGCCAAATCTATGCATTTTTCCATTTTCAGTGAATTGATCTAAAGTCAATTGCAATTTTATTGAAACAAAAGCCTGGTTCTTTCTCTTATAAAATGATATTTTATGTTGGGTGGTCTTTGAGATATGATGGATTGATTTTGACAACATAAATCATTTCCTGTGAGCTCATTCTTGAAAACTGCTCAATAGAAGGAACTGAAAATATTGTCAGAAAGAAAGTGCGACAATCTTGTGGTGCAAAGATCAGTAAGTAGCATCACCATTGAACTCAGGAAAATTAAATGACAAATATGACAAAAATATATGTGACTTCTATTTTGGCATGCCACTATATGTTTATGAACATTGTTGATACAATTTCGTTTTCGTGTATCAAATTGAATGTCCTTGTCCCTATACAGTAATGTTTGATACGGTATAGTACAATCTGTTTATTAAAACTGTATTACATAACATCATTGGTGATGGTCATAGTTCGTTTAGGATCCCTGTACCACTGCCAAATCTGTCACTAAGTGTTGGGAACTTTGTTTTCCGGCATGACCATATCTTTGATAAAGCATTTCTAAAAAAGAAAACCATACCTTAAAATACTTTAATGAGAAATAATCAAAATGAAATAAACAAGAAATATAACCAACAACAGTGTTCTGAGTGGAAAACAGTTCAGCGGGACTAGACCGGGGGTCAAACTCTCAATGATTTCATATTGTTACACTAGGTTCTATCTAACTAATTGAGCTACCTGGCTAATGGATGTTGTGTGTCTCACAGGAATCCTTAGTTTTCATGTCATGTTGAAATTTAATGGAGACATTGAAGCAACATTTAATAGAGATAGCAGTATAAACGGAAGGACAGTGTTGTTCGTACTAACAATGATATTTAAACATAGAATCAGTTGATATTGTTTGTGTTACATGTTGTTATCAGTTCTAGTGACTCCAGAATGTGTAGCTGATGTGGTTTGTTTAACCTAACAGTATGTTTGGAATTATGCGAGTTATATTTCTTGACTTTTTATTACAGACAATATAATTTCATAATGTCTGGTTATTGTAATAGAATTATTAATTAAGGTAAACTCAGAATGGGAAATGTGCAAAACTGAACTTTTATAAATAATCTCAGATAAAACATGCCTAATGTTATGTCGGTACAGTACGCTGGTTGTTTTCACCATGGGGTAATTCTATATCATAATGACATGTACTTGATAACTTGGTAAACACGTGTTGTTATCATACTATGTAATAATAAAATCATGTCTAAATTTGAGTCTATTTATCAAATGTATTTATTTTCTATT